ATTACATGCACAGGTACTCCCTGCACTAGACAAGAACACTACTTATATGTGTAGGGTTTAGATTTTGTCATAAATGTGACAAAAAGGATTAAAATATAAAATCCAGAATTAAATATTTTGAGTTTCATAACATATTTTTTCAATATCCACTAAAGAAATTTTTTTCAAACTCCATTTCCCAGAGTTTCAATGGTGTGGGGTTTGTGACATTTCAGGGTTTACAAAGAAATGGAATTATGACTGCTGCATAACTTTCTACATAAATTTTCTTGAAACTGCAGTTTATTTCCGTTTAAATTTTCTAATCTGTAATCAGTAAGACTGAAATTTTTCCGTTCTAAGTATCAGCAAAACTTTCAAATATTTCTAAATGAGAATAGAAGGAAATATTTTGTTTTTTCCCCACAACAAACTATTCTACAAAATAGTTTCTCAAAAAGCTCTGATTTCTCAGGGCTTTGAAGCAAGACGTTGGGATTTCTTGGGGAAGGGTAGTGATGCTGGTATCCCATACAAATATGTGCCTCTTGGGCCAGTTCTCCAGGAGAGCCTTTTTACTGTCTTGGCAGTGACATTATTTTTTCTCTTTGTGTATTGCTTTATGTTATTTATCACAATGTCTTTTACCTTTCAAACCAAAACTGTGACCAGAAACAGATACACAGCACTGGAAAGGAGCCGTGGGAGCGTTTCCGTGCCCTGGCCCTTCTGAAAAGCTACCACACTGTTACAAACAACTTTGATCCATTTCCCCAGCGCTATCCATCCTCTACAATGGAAAAGACAGAATCCTATCACAAAAATATCACAGGATTATTATATTACTAGTAGTATTATATTATTAGTAATAGTTATTAGTATTATTCACATACAATAGTATATTATTAGTATTATTTCACTTAAGGTATGTAAAAGTATGCTTCTGAAGTCCCTCCACCATTTTACTTAGTTTCCAGGTGAGAGAGAGTAAGCAGGAAAAATCTCAGTGCAACCAGATTTTTTTTAAAAATTGCAACTTGAAAACACTAATCTGGTTGTACTTTTATTCCTGTTTATTCTCAAACCTGACTGAAGACAATTCATCATCAGCTGGCTGCCTGTGGGTGACTTCCTTGGTTATTCTCCAAATATAGGAAAACACCTGTATTATACTTGGGCACCAGCTACTGATTATGTTTTCCTCAGCTGTGGGTGATCTGAGGTTTTTCTTGGGTGAAAATATGGTGCCTTGATAAATGACACAGAACATAAAACAAAACAAAACAAAACAAAACAACAAAAAACCACCCAGCTATGCCATGCAAAATCATGAGACACTTGCAGAAATTTTGGCCTCAAGTTCCAAAGCTGTTCTCCGATTACCATGTTATTCCAGCTCAGGGGAGGGAAGGTTGGAGGCATAAAAAGTCGGGCTTTTTTTTCCAGGGGGAAACTGTAACCTGCCATAGACCAGCATAAGCCTACGTGTGACATCTTCCCTCTCTGACACCCTTCAGACCAGGCATGCCGAATCTATGGCCCCTGCCATGTCCTAAATGACCTTATGTCTCAGTGGGTCTCAATTAGAAGTAAGAGAGAGATGCACTTTCCTGTGTAGCCAGAGCAATGCAGAGAAGGAAGTAATCTACAGATTTGCACTGATGTTCCCCATCCCAGTATTTCAACTTTCTTTTTAAAAGGAATGTACTGGAAAGGCCAAAAGGACTTTAGCTCCATCTGTCTTTCCCAGCCAGTTATTAACCCAGTGGCTGGTCTGTGGTCCCAGTCATTTAACTGGAGAAGTGAGTGGCGACACCATCGCCGCAGTGGCTGCAGCCATCCCAGCTTTACGCTTCCCACAGGATTGGGCTGGTCTCCACCCCGTTGGTCTCTACCCCAAACTGGGGTTGCAATTCAGAATGAGAGTCAAGAGGACTGGGCAGGGCAATTCAGGTGAGGGGAGAGGGATCAAAACCACGAGCCAGATTAGGGGTACAAGCCCTGGTCTTGCCAGGAGGGACATATGGAGCAAGAAGGTTGGAAAAGGAGAGTTTCAACTCATGTAACAAACAAATACGGAACCAGGAGTTACCTGGAGATGAGAGGATGCAGTTTTTTAGGTCTGCCCATGCTGTCCCCTTTGAAGAGGGAAAAAGGGACGAGTATGTTGTTAAAAGAGTGTGTAATAGTCTGTATGGATAAAGGACTCAAAGACATTATACTACATGTATGTGACTATATATCACACACACACACAATAATCTCCACAAAATGAACACAAAAATGTGTCCTTTGTCTCCACAAAAGTGTGTGGTCTGTATTAAATCAATTTTACTGGCTCTGAGGACTCAAAAACATATGTAAGTTAGTAAAAGCTACAGATGTGTGGCAATTCTAAAGGCTCATAACACACATGTATGCGTACCTTGATTTTCAGAACACACATGCAGCAGCACACTAAAGGCATTTTTATGAAACCACATCATTCCTTCTGCTTTTTAAAACAAATTGTTAGAAATTACTAAAGCAAAGTTAAAAATAAGTGATAGAAAGGATGTGAGTATATACTTTGTTGTTGTTTTGTTCTTCTGGGAGCTTCTGATGATGAAATTTTGATGGGATTTTGTGCTCTCTGGTCATTCGTGCTTAGAGACACAAGCAACTTCAACTCGGTTTTCTGTCATCCTTGCTGCAGTAGGAGTCTTGTAGCTCATTTCTAACATCAATCACTTGGACTATAAATCTCTGCAGTGGATATGGCCATTTAAATCTCCACCTGCACAAACAACAACCAAGCCTAGAAAATAAGGAGGCTCATAAATCTCTGTGCTGGTGATTAGTAATATTTTGGATCTGTAACAAGGATGTTATAAAGAAAAAAGAAAAAAAAAGCAAAGCTAATTCATTAATTAGGACTAATATGCTGACAATCTGTTTAGTTTGTACACAGAGAAAACACAAACAGGGCACAGTTAACATAACATGACTTTAGAGGTTAGTGAATTCCCAAGAGCCCAGGGCTTGGAGATATGATATCTTAATGTACTTATCCTATTGTGAGTGGGAAGGTGTTATCTTCCAGCCAAATGGTAAAGAGCTGGTTTAAAGTTTAGATCTGCCCTTTTTCTTCTGGCTTATGTGAGCCAAGGAATCAAGATGGATCAAGAGATAGGAAAGACTTCCTTGCCGGTCATCAAAAATTACACTCTGACTCCTACTGAAACTTTAATTTGCAGACAGTACATAGCGCTTGGCAAACATACCAGTTTCACCCTCCAGAATTTTTGGTTGGTTGGTTGGGTTTTGTTTAGTGCACGCAGAAAACCCAATGTGATGCTCACACAGAGCAGTAAGAGACTTTCCTGTGGCTCCAGTGACCTTGGATTAACTCCGAAGCCACTGCGTGCTACAGCGACATCTCAGGCTGTACATTTTTGTCCAGAGCTACGTGAATCCTCAGGTAAGCAGCTGAATAAGTGGAGTTGCTTCTGCAATCAGATCAGTCACTGTGCCCAGAAAGGTCCCATGTGCAGATTGTGCCCAGTCCTTTAGTCCTCCTGTGTTAAAAACCCAGGCTGCTGGGGTACCTGTGAGGTTTCAGGAAGCGTGTGAGGAGGGAAGGAGCTATGGGAGCAAGTTCATGCTTCACAGGCCTCGTTGGGCTCCACATGTGGGTTTACGAGAAGATTTTATATGGAGAGGGAGAAGAGCTAGGCCAAGGGTAACTGCTTGTAAAAGCTTGCTCTGCAGAGACTGAATACACATGTGCATAAAGATCGTAGCTACAGTGTATGCCTGCTCATTCAAACTACACAGCAAGCCGCTCATTCACCAGAGTGGTAAAACAGTTGGGAATGTTTGGTTTCAGTGGTTGTAGAGTACGGCCTGATGCCCTCACTCCCACCGCTCCCACAGAAGGCGCCTTATCTTGCCTCTTTATTCAGGCAAAACTCCCTGACTTTTGAGCATGCATGAACCAGCAGACAAAGCGCTCCCCGGGTACAGCAGAACGAAACACTGACATCTGCTCTGCAACAACATGCCGAGAAAAGGCGGTTTTTCTGTGCGATCTCTACCATCCAATACCCCCTGCCTTTTCCTTCATTTCAGCGCACACCCTAGCCGACCCATCCGCAGCCATGCTGACCCTCCCCGGCGGCACGGTGCGTTCCCGCGGCTCGGTGGGGCTCTGCGGACCGCCGGGATCTCGGCCTCCCGGCACACCTGCGGATGGGGCAGCCTCCGCGACACTTACAGCTGGGGGGACTCACAGAGTGAGAAGGGACCGGGACGTGTCGGAGGTCACCCAGGAGGGCTGAAAGAAGTCAGATCCTCCTGCCTCCAGCCCCTGGGCTGTGACGGCAAGGTCCACACTGCTGGCCAGGCGGCGGAGCGTTCCCTTCCTGGAATACACTAGTAGCTGGACAGGATGCGTTCGCAAATATAATCATCCACAAATCTCCCCCAGATTAGGTTACAGGACAGCGTTTCGACAGCACGCATTACGAAGCTCCCTGGAAGGCTTGGCTGGTGGATCTGCTGCTCGCTCTCTGCTCGTGACCCATTTTGGCTTTCATCAAGAATCATGACACCAGCTGCCTGGGTCATCTAGGAGGCAGGGAGGGGGAGAGCAACCCTGGGCTGGAAAGGGAAGTGGGGAAGGAGAAGAGGAGGAGGAGGAAGGGGGAGGATAGA